GTGATAGTAGCAGTAGTAGTAGTAGTAGTAGTAGTAGTAGTAGCACGTAGCACGTAGCACGTAGTACGTAGTACGTAGTACGTAGTACGTAGTACGTAGTACGTAGTACGCAACAGGTATAGCAGGTACTACGTAGTACGTAGTACCGAGTACGTTGTACCGAGTACATTGTACCTTGTAATCGTTGTTGTTGTTGGTGTTGGTGGTATAGTGGTGTTGCTGCGGCTGCTGCTGTTGATGCTTGTGTTCTTGTTGTTGTGGTTGTTGTTGTGGTTGTTTTTGTGGTTGTTGTGTTGGTGCTGGCGTTGTTCTGACTTTTGTTGTCACTGTAATTATGATATTGATAGTTGTTGTGTTTGTGGCTGTTGTTGCTGCTGCTGCTGCTGCTGCTGCTGCTGCTGCTGCTGCTGCTGTCATTGATGTTATTGTTGGCATTGTCGTTGTTGTGGTTATTGCAGATGTTGGTTTTTGTTGTTGTCGCTGTCGTTGTCGTTGTTGTGATTGTGGTTGTGGTTGTGGTTGTGTTGGTGGTTGTCGTGATTGTGGTTGTGATTTGCGCTATTGTTGTCGTTACTCTTCTTGATGTTGTTGCTGTTGCTGTCGGTGTTGTTGACGTCGTTGTTGCTGCTGCTTCCGGTGTTGTTCTTTGCTGCTGTTGTTGTTGGTTATTGGTTGCTGTTGGTTGGTTGTTGTGTGTTGCTTGGTGTTGGTTGTGTGTTGCGTCGTGTTGTCGTGTTGTGGTTTGTGGTTTGTCGTTGTTTGTTGTTTCATTGATATCTTCATTCATGTAGCGACTATGATTGAAATGGAATACCAGTTATCACCATGACGATTATGATTAGTATCATCATACTTGGTTCAACAAAGAAGTTTGTGCATTTACATCATGCACATTTAACACTGTGTGGATACAGGGATATGCACACGCACATGCCTCATACCGGTGTATGTGTATATGTAAGTGTCTATATCTAACAATATATGAAGCAGGTAGATAATACATCAACATACATATGAACCAACTAACAATATACATGAATGTACCAACAACACCTGCTTGTATCTATGTATATGTAAATTTTGGGGTTTCATATTTATGTGTATATATATATATATATATATATGTATGTATGTATATATATATATATATATGTATGTAGCTATGTATCTATGTATCTACCTATGTATGTATGTATGTATGTATGTATGTATGTATGTATGTATGTATCTATTCGGATAGAAGCCCACTCGCGCAGAACACTCGAGCGGATCGAAGCCCCACGTCTGAAAAAAGCGCGCAAGACGAGACCATACTGCTCGATGGTACGATTGGCTCAGGGTGTCGGGTTTAGGCTTTAGGGTTTCGGGTTCAGGGTTTAGGGTCGGGATTGGGAGTCTTGAGCAGCAGAATTTGCGAGTTTCAGAACACAAGAAACCACCACAATGCATCCTAGATAGAGGGCGTGCTCGGCCTTACAGCCCACAAGCAAAGCCCGTTCAGATGTTTTGAAGAAATACAGTAACAAAAGGCTCCGCTCGGGTTTTGACTGGAACTATGTTTTCAGAGTCCTGGCTGTTCAAATAAAACCGAACTCGGAAAGCAACTATTGAAGGGAGCCCTTACCATCCTATTTAGGGTTGTTTAGGGATTAGGATTTTCAGGGTTCGGGGGTTATTAGGGTTTAGAGTTTGCTGCCATGGCTTACCAAAGTCCGACTCTCTGAGCCTTCGGCCCTAAAACTACGCACTGTAGTCTTCCAAATCCTTCGTCTCTTCCTGTCTTTCATTTCACTTCTTGACCTCATGCTTGTGAGACAAGCACTGTCCTACGACAGTGATCGCCATTTAAAATTTATGCATTCCATATATTCCAGGCGTCCTAGGTCTCTGTGATGCAAAGCTCAGTGGACGAAGAGGTTCCGCATCTGAAGACGCACCTGCATGGTCGTATCGTAGTTTGTGCCTGAACTGGAACCGGCAGCCGAAACGTGCTCGACGCTCTCGTCATCCACCTCCTTTTGGGTCGGGATCTTGAGCTTCAAAGCCTTGGGGTCCTGATTCTGCATTGGGTGCTACCTATAGTCTCCATTGTAGTTCCTTTTTTTGGTTTAACCAATTACATAATTACATATTAAGGATTTGTAAGGTATCCCCAAAAAGGAACTACAATGGAGACTATAGGTATAAGGAGCTTGCTGACATAGGTTTCCGGCGAGCAATAAGCGCCTGTGTTACAGCTATGCCCCCTTCGACGTGGTCTTGGTGCTTTCGATTCAAGTAGATATCAAACCTCCTAGCAATGTCAAGGCAGTACTGCATGGTAGTGGTAATGGGGAAGTAGTGGTGATATAGTTGGTGAGATGTAGGGGGAGTATAGGAATCATCGTCTAATGGGTTGACTGGTGGTATCATTACCCAAAACGGGCAAGGGTTCTGCTAACTCTATATAGGGTACTAGAGCCCTGAAACCCATATAGTAGGTACCTGGAGGGTTAGGGTAAGAAAGTGTGGGATGCTGGTATTGTCGCTGGATGTTCCTGATTATAAGGACCTTAAGTTTCGGGCCCCGCCTTGACAGAAATCCACCCAACAGTCTAAGCCCGAATGACACCCTCCCTAAAGCATGCCATGTATCCCTGAATCCTAAACCCTATAAGCCCTAAACTCGAAACCCGAACGCCCCAAACCCCGAACCCCTAGCCCCCCCAACCCTAAACCCTAAACCCTAAACCCCTAGCCCCCCCCGCCCCCCCTCCACATCATAGCCGCCTCAATCTCGCAGACCTCCATGAGCCCTGAGAGCATCGTATCGGCACTCGTAAAGGGCGAGAAGAGCTTGGTACCACGTAACCTGGGCTCTTCTTGGGAATTTTTGATTAAGAACTTATTGTATAACCCTAACCCCCCAGGTACCTACTACTGTATATAGGGCCCTAGGGGCTCTAGTATTCTATATAGTAGGTTCCTGGGGGGTTAGGGTAAGTTGCCAGAATGGGGTTAGGGTGTAGGGTTCATGTTAGGAATTGCATTTAAGTTACCATAGCAGGGATCTTCAGTAGACAATAATGGGTAATATTATGGTTTCTTTGTTACGGTAACTTGATTAAGTTCCTTAACAAGAACCCAGTAACGGGTGCTCCGTGGTTGGCAAACCAGAGAAATGCGCGTTCACGTGCGCCTGGCAGCTGGAAGCTCACAAACCCTACAGCTCTGGGTGCAGGGTCCTTACGGAAGATGCCTTTTGCCGAGGGTGGTTGCTGCAGAGAAGTGCCGTGTCGTGACGTCGGGCTTTGCCGTGCTTCAGACTCAAACAATCTGAAATCTTTTGCGCCTGGATCCAGTTCTGAACGCTGTCACGGTACGTGGGCTTGACCCACTCCAGGAAGTACGGCACCTGCACAGACAAATCCCGCACCCCCAAACCTTGAAGCCTGAAACGCCGAAACCTCCAAACTTGTGTGCACATCCTGTACGCTGTACACTTAACCCCCATAGGCCCACAACTGGTGCGATTTCCTGCTATAGAGTTACTGGTGGCTTTATAGATGTATATCTTTCAATCCTCACTCCAGACACTCAGTCGCAAGCCCGGCACCCCATCCCAAGGCTAAGACTAAGGACGCGCATTAAGGGTTCAGAGCTGGAAGGAACATAAGGGTTTCAATGGGCTTCCGTGTAGACTGGGCCAGGAGTACAGGTCGTGCCCTAAAGCCTAAACCCCCTAAGGGTCCATGAACCCAAATAATAGATACTTCGGTCTTAAAGTTGTCCCTATATAGGCACTTTGGGGCCAATGTAGTATATGAATACATGGACCCTGAGGGACCGCTAAAGCCCACAGGAACGTATGGGAGATCTCTGGACCAGGATTGGTGAACGCTTACTTAGGCTACGGTCTCATCGAGGTTAGGGTTCAGGGTTTAGGGTTTGATCCCGGAAACCAGAGTTTTGAGTTTCTGCATCAGAGCCAAGCCATGGTTAGTCTTGTCACTACTGCTCACTTTTGACTGTCCTTGACTCTCCTTCCTAAACCGCTCTTGTTATTGGTGCCACTCCACTGTACTGTGCTGTGCTGTGTGGTACTGTACTGTACTGCACCGAGCTGTCGTGCTGTCGTGTACTATCCAATGCAAGACTCCACTATACCACCATGGTGCCAGCTTCAGAAGCAAAATGCTCGAGCAATCTGAGCCAAGCCTGCGAGGTGCGTACCGACCTGCCGGGCCTACCGGCAAAAGCAACGAATCAAGTCAACATATATACCCTGTGACATGAACATGCTAAAAACCCTGAAACCCTAAACTTTAAACCCTGAAGCCCTATACCCTGTACCCTAAAACCTGAAACCTTAAACCCTAAACCATGAAACCTTAACCCTAAACCCTGAACCCTGAAACCTTTAATCCTAAAGCCCTGAACGGTGCTTCCAAGACTTGCAGGCATGGCGCTTCATCTCTCGTAGATCTGAGTTCAAGAAATTCGTTTTTTTATTGTCGTGTAGGGGAACCATGGGTAGCGACCAGGTTGTGGTCCTATTGAGTTTTACGGTTTACGGTTTAGGCTTCAGGTAAGCTTAGGTAAGGTAGCTGGGCTATGTTGCTATACAGCGTGCATGTTTCCATGCCTTGCTGTCTGACTTACTAAGTTAGTGTCCAACCAATCGACCCTAAACCCTAAACCCTAGACCCTACCCTAAGCCCAAATAACCTACCTTTTTAAGGACTTATATAAGGAATTCATATTAAGGAACCCTCAAAAGGCAGGTTCTTCAGGGTCCCGGTAGACCCTAAACCCTAAAAACTAAACCCTAAACCCTAAACCCTAAACCCTAGACCCTAAACCCTAAACCCTAAACCCTAAACCTTAGCCTGCTTTGACCAGAAATCCGCCTTCGGCTTGGGGTGCAGGTTCCAGCCTTTACGGTGAAGAGAACTCTAAGGTTTAGGGTTTAGGGTTTAGGGTTTAGGGTTTAGGGTTTAGGGTTTAGGGTTTAGGGGTTTAGGGTTTAGGGTTTAGGGTTTAGGGTTTAGGGTTCCCAGCTTCAGCGCCCCTCAACGCAAGATCCCTTGGTTCCAACGAACCGTCGGTGTATTCCCACGGAGCCCACTACCATGCAATCCCCCTATTCCGAAACTTGTACACTAAGGCACGTCGGCCGTGAGCAGTCTAAAGGCTGAAGCGAGCATGATCTGTCCCGGGTTAGGGTTGGGGGTTTGGGGTTTAGGGCTTTGCGTTTAGGGGTTTAAGGTTCAGGGTTCAAGGTTTTCTGACAGGTACCAGAGAATCTGAAGCAGGGACGCTTTGCTGGACTGGGGATGTCTGAGATGCTAGCTTTGGAACTCCTCAGCGATTCGAGAAAAACAGATCGGAAAACTAGAGCTGCAACCACCTTAAACCCTAGACCCTAAGCCGTTTCAAGCTTGCTTGGCCCTAAGATCCTCACACCCCTAAACCCTAAACCCTAAACCTAAGCCCTCACTTCCATTAAGCCCCAACCCCTAAACACGAGCCCTGAGCCCACAAGCTCCCAGTCCCTGCAGCCGCCATCAAGGCCCAGTGACTCGTCTGCATCTCTGAAGGAGAGCTGGACTGTCTTGATCGCAAAGTCGTCCTCCCACTGCTTGTCAAGGATCATTCGATGGCTTAGATGCTTAAGATTTGGGAAAGAAACTGATATACATATATATATATATGTATACACATAAATACAGATAGATATCCAAATATTTTAGTGCATATATATATACACACGAGGTCCATATAGATAGATAGATGGATGGATAGATGGATGGATAGATGGATAGATAGATAGATAGGTAGATAGATAGAGATAGATAGATATACTTATTTGTTACTTTATATGCACTATACTATGTATGTACTCACTTGGTTGAGATTCGAGGATCAGGTTGAGGGCTTCCACTGGTCAGGTCCCAGGAACAGCCAGGAGTGTAAATTGCAAGCGGGTATTCCTCCATTCTCTATAGTATAGTATAGTATAGTATAGTATAGTATAGTATAGTATAGTATAGTATAGTATAGTATAGTATAGTATAGTAGAGTAGAGTAGAGTATAGTATGGTATGGTATGGTATGGTATGGTATAGTATGGTATAGTATGGTATAGTATGGTATAGTATGGTATAGTATGGTATGGTATAGTATGGTACAGTATGGTATAGTATGGTCTATCTAGTATGGTCTAGTATGTTATAGTATGGTATAGTATGTTATAGTATGGTACAGTATTTTATAGTATGGTGTAGTAGTGTAGTACCTTATGGTATAACATCATACCAGTACTGCCCTGTGGCTTCACGATTGCCTCCACTTGCTACACGTACCCTCTCGGTGTGCAAAGCACGCAAAGAGAGTCTTTGTACCTGTTGTGCACTCATTGCTGCGCTGCTGCATTCCAAGTGTGAGACCGTGCGAATTGAGTGTTTGTTGACCCATGCGCGGACCACGGTATTCTGCTGCATTGCTATTTCACCCGACCGAAAAGCCTCTGGATCCCTACGGATGATAAAGCATTCTGGCGCGACGGGGGACCAGGGGTAAACCAGAGCTTGAAGCCTGGGATTCTCAAACGTAACCTACGGCTTTGGGGGTTTAGGACCTGGGCAAAACACCTGGTGTTACCCTAAGGGTCCAAATGCCCAATAATCATATACTCTCCCAAATAGTAACCTACATAATTAACTACTATCCGAACACTGTCCCTTTGACCCTTGGGGTTAGGGTTTAGGGCGTCAGGTGCAACTTGTCTGGATTCGTGAGAGTAACCCCCCGGTAGAGCAAGCTCTTGGTGCTTCAAGATGCAGGCTGCACCTCACACCCGTAAACTTTCTCCCGCACCCCACAGAAAACACTACATGAAACAGAAAACAAAAAACAACCAGCGGTCAACACCTTACACACAGCCTCTAAACCCACAAAGACTCAAAGCTCGATCTGATGGGGCGTCGAAAACCAGTCCTCGTCAGTGTTGACCGTGAGAAGGCAGTCCACCTGGAGTCCGGAAACTCAAAGTGCAGAGCTGTCTATGAGTTTCGGGTTTAGGGATTCGGGATTGGAGTTTAGGATTTGGGTTTTAGAGTTTAGGCTTAAGGGTGTGCTACGGGTTTTGCGCATGGGCTCTGTAAGGGCTTTGCAAGCCCTTGCTTTTTGATAATAAGAGCCTCGTGATATGTTTGTTTGTTCACAATGGTGAGACAAAGGGCTTCCAAAAGGGTTCTGGGCCGTTCAGGGCTTGAAGGCCTTAGAACCCGAGAAGATGTTGAGGGCCACCGGGTCTAGATTTTGGAACCCTGAATTATTAAAATAATAGTTATAATATGACCCCAAACCCTATTCTAATCATTAAGGCCCCTATAATCAGATCCGAAACTCCACGGGCCTGAACAGCTTCTGCAGGGCCTCAGTCCCGGGGCTTTCCCGTTCCCTAGCAGGCCGGCCTTCTCAAGCATGCGGAGCTCAACAACATCCTCACAGGGCAGGATAGGGATGCACAAAGGGGGCCGGGATGCGAGACTGAGAGTGCTAGGATTCAGCGTGCTGATTTCTTTTTCCAGCACGTTTGCTGCTGCTGGCATTCTTAACATGCTCTATTCTTCTGAATACCACTCTGGGCCCATGCTTGCAGATGTGCAGAGTTTTGTGAGGGTCTGAGGTTCACAGTCCTCGGCATAGGACATCACATAGGGTAAAGAGGCCTAGAGTTTGGAGAAGTAGGCGCGTTATGGCTTAGGGTTGATTAAGGGGTTTCATGAGATTCGACTCCTAACAAAAACAAAGCCTCATGCCGCTTAGAGAACCGAAAGCACAAGGCCATAATCCAAAACGGGCCACTGTGATGTTGAGGCGGTCCTGTGTGCGGCTGCTTTTCGTGCTGCTTCTGGTGGCGCTGCCTTCGCCCTCCGCTCGCCTCCTGAAATGGTCAAGACCGTAACTACCATCAAACCTCCTCTACCGTAGTTGTCAATCATTCTCGCTAGCAGCCGCATCGTCATCGGCAACAGTGCTACTGTTAGCACTGAACCTGCTCCAACCATGATGTCTCTGACATGACTACTCACTACTCCTGTTGCAGCTGCTTTCTGATTTGGCGATAAGAGCTGTGGTTCAAAGAAGTGTAAATCTTCGTATCTCATTCACCCCCACCATCATCATGATCGTTCGATCGTTCTGACTAACATCATAGCCATGCATCATTATGACTGTCAGCATCATAGGCTTGTCTTGCTACTGCTCTGCGATGGGGATTCTGCGACTAGTGCCACTGTTGCTATAGTCGTGGCGGCACCATGAGTAGTAGAACTAGAAGCAGAAGAAGAAGCAGTAGAAGAAGCAGTAGAAGTAGTAGAAGTAGTAG